TCTCAAGAGATCAAGAAAAAGTCATCAAAAGGCACATGATAGGGGCAGCTAGGTGGTGCAGTGAATAGAGCACCAACTCTGGAGTCAGGAGGACCTGAGTTCAAATCTAGTCTCAGACCAGACACTTGACACTTACTAGCTGTGTGACCCTGGGCAAGTCATTTAACCCCAATTGCCTCGAAAACGAAACAAAACAAAAGGTACAAGATGAGCATTAAGAGGGATTAGAGCCCAATTACAACCAATTTGACAGTACTTTAATAGTAATCATACTAGTCAAGAATCTTCTGCCTTTACAATATTATATATTATAAATATATACATCTTTATATATGCTATATGTGTGTATATCTCTCCCCCCCCAACTCCATGAGAGGCTTGGAGTCAGAAAGATTTGAGTTCGAATCTAGCCTCAGACACTTACTAGCTGGGGCAAGTCACTTAACATCTGTTTGTCTCACTTTCCTTATCTGTAAAATGGAGATAATAATAGCACCTACTTCCTAGGCTCAAATGAGATAAAAATTGTAAAGAGCTTAGTACAATGCCTGTCACATAGAAAGTACTTTATAAATGTTAGTATATGTATGTATGCATGTATGTATAAATGTATATGTACGTGTGTGTGCATTTTATATATGGTCTATATGTGTATGTATATATTTATGCATACATACACATATATATTACTTGTACATCCTTCAGGCTTACACCAATAAGGGACACAGCCTAGTGGTCAGGGACAGACACAAAATGGGAGCTACTAAATCAGAGAAACAAACCAGCAGAGCCACATATAGCTCACTCTCTGCCTTTCCTTTTGGAAAAGTCTAAATGTCTAAATGTTCCTGGAGAAGTATAATTATTATTCCAAATTACAAAAAAGGGAGGAGGGTATACTCTGTAAAGTATGAGCCAATGAACTTTACTTCTCAAATCTGTGTTCTCATCAATGTGGATATTCTCTCCAATAATGGAAGCTGCAATGTATTTCATGCCTACCCACCCTTGGCAACTGTTGTCCATGTCTTTCCATAAGTTCTACACGAGAGGATCCAACCAACACACCAGGAGCTCTCTTTGCTTTTTCTTAACATCACTAGGAAACTACTACTACTACTAGTACTACTACTACTAGTACTACTACTACTACTACTACTACTACTACTGCTACTAAATGCTAGCTTGTACCAGGCATCACTCAGGCTGGATACTTGTTAGCCTTCACTTTATCTCATGCCCAGCTTATCTTCATTTTCAATGATACATGTCTTTACTCCAGTTCCTTATAGTTTCTTATTTGTTATGTGTTGCAGCCTGCTCACATCCACCTCTCCACTGCCCTTTGTGATTCTCTTTTTTAATTCTTCACAGACTGTGTACTATTCCATGACTCATGGCTGGTGGAATATTGCCATGAAAAAGATGGTCCTTTGTTTCTGGGAAAAGTTTAGGGTCATTAATGGAGCACTGCAAGATTTCTCAAAGACAATCCAACATGCTCTCCTCCTCCTATTTAATTCTTGGCCCAATTCCTTGTCCATTTGTACTGTCTGTCCCAAACATGTATGTAATGGGGATCATACCCCATGGAGTATACACAGAGCTGCTCTGCCTGCTTCCAGCCCCTATGTGTGCTGGCTCAGCTGTTTTAGGAAGACAAAGTGATCTCCTTAGCCCTATGATGGCAGTGAGGGTGGGGACATATCAGTTAAAAAGGAGAGACAGCTTCTGGCCTACTCTATAGGTGGCATGGTATAATTCTGGGACTTCCTGTGAGAGGTGGGGGAAGAAAGAACCTTCAACCTGGCAATATGGCATCTGCTCCACATGGAAGCCAGAGCAAGGGGCTCAGCTCAATGAGCTTGAGTCTAGGCTTCTGGTTGCCTCTTCTGCTTTGTTTTTCTTTGTCTGATAGTAGGTGACCAAACAGCAGTCATGAGATGGATGTGTCCAGCTTCAGAGGCTACATTGTGAGTTTCACAGGTCTCAAGATCTGGGTCTCTTGGTCAGAAGTGACTGGTAGATTTGCCAGAAGACACGGACCTGGAGCACTTGGCAGAGCTGAAATAACATATAAAGTGCCTATTCAGAAGTCCCTCAAACTGTATCATGACTTGATGTTTTATGTATCAGCCTTCCCAGAGAGTATATAAATCATTATTTACTTTATCCTGTGATGTTAAAAAAAAAGACATAACTAAAAGTAAATAACATATTCTATATATTTTAAACCACTGACATGCCTAGGTTGGTCTGTCTGACACAAGTCTTTCCCCGCTCTGGTTCACCCTCCATTTAGCCGCTAAGATGATTTTCCTAAAGTGCAGGTCTGACCATGTTACCCCCCTACTGTATAAACACCAGTGGCTCCCCAATACCTCCAGAATAAAATATAAAATCCTCTGTTTTATGTTCAAAGCCCTTCACACCCTTACCCCCCTTCCAGTCTTCTTATGTCTTACATCCTCTGGGTATTCTTTGATTCAGTAACACTGGTCTTCTTGCTTTTCCATGAAGAAGACAATGTGTCTCTGAGTTCCAGGCATCTTCTCTGGCTATCCCTCATCCTTCCTCATCTCTGTTTCCCAGTTTCCTTGGCCTCCTTCAAGTCCTTCCTTCAGTTAAAACTCCACCTTCTATAGTAAGCCTTTCCTCATCCCTCTTAATTCTAGCACCTTCTCTTGTTAATTGCTGCCTATGTGCCTTGTACATAGCTTTTTGTACATATTTGTTTGCTTGTGGGGTCCTCAAGGGCAGAGACTGTCTTTTGCCTTTCTTTTTATCCCTAGTATTTAGAACAGTGCCTGGACCATAGTAGGTACTTAAATGTTTGTTGAATAACTGACTAACATTATTTGCCTCTCCAAGGATGGCCTGAATCATTTTTACATTTAGCTAAAACTTCTTTATTTCTTCTGGTTTTGTTTAAATTAAGGATGTCAAGATCAGTATGATTCAAAGCCACTATTACTGCAGAAGTGGCAAAGGTCTGAGAATAATTTTGTATTTTTGTTTCATGGGTTGCCATGGCCAAAGAATTTATCAGCAAGGAATCAGACAGTGGTGATAAGCCTCCCTACATTTCGCTGGGCTGACCCTTGGTGGGAGGAGGGAGTCATTCTGTTGGCAGGACTGTTCCACCATGAAAATAATTGCATCTTAGGCAGAAACACCTGTTACAGAGGATAGAAAGGTAAAAGAAATTCTATGAAGAACTCAATAAGGCTGTCAGAGTTAAATCAACAAATACTGTGCTCCTCAGGAACTACAAAGCAAAGAAAAGAATAGATGACAAGAAATTTGTTCGGATATGCAGCATGTCCCTAAAGTCATAGTTCAATTTTAAGCTTTAATAGCTTATGGTTTAAAGACAGTCTGGTGGTACTCTAAATTGTAAAATCCTTTAAGCTTTAATAGCTTAAGACTGCACTAAGACTTTTGGGACACCTAGTGTAGATCAGGAATAAAGAATGAAAGAAACCAAAGACTTGTATGACTGATTTCTTTGAGAAAAGAATTGGTAGGCAAAGGTGCACATTGTGTACACCACACATCACAAAAATAAAACTGATTATGTTGTAACATGCAGGAAGCAACTCATTACTGATGTGGAAGTCATTCCTGAATCAGCTGTCTACACAATTACCACTAACTTGTTACAACAAGCAAAATACTCTAGATTGTTGAAGTATTTTGAGGACTAAAGGCATGCTGTTGCCCTAGGTGCTATGGATGAAACTGCTGCAATACATGAGAAAAGGTGAATAAGGCATAATTCCAGCACTTCTGAAATATTTACTACCTAATTCAGCAGGAGTTGAGTGGGTGCGTAGTGGGATTGATGCATATGTTTATACATACATACTTCAGGGTTCTCTGTGGTTCCTCCCCTGTTCCTGTTGAATAGTGTTTGACTCTTCATGACCCCTTTTGGGGTTTTCTTGGCAAAGATACTACAGTAATTTGCCATTTCCTTTTTCAGCCCATTTTTACAGATAAGGAAACTGAGGCAAACAGGGATAAGTGACTGACCAGGGTCACATTGTTAGTGTCTGAGGCCAGATTTGAACACATGGAGATGAGTCTTCCTGATTCCAAGCCCAGTGCTCTACCCACTGTACCACCCACCTGCCCTAGGTCCTCCCCTACCAATATAGATATAACCTTTCTGCATTTGAGAAGATAGCCTTCATGAGTTCCTGTGGATGAATAAATTCAACAGCTTTCCAAACTTCTCATGATGAGCCAATTAGATAAGCAAGCCCTCAGATGGGAGACCCACAGTCTGTCACTAGGCCCTTATATTGACAGCCTTCCTGGGGGCAGCTAGGTGGAGCAATGGATAGAGCACCAGCCCTGGAGTCAGGAGGACCCGAGTACAAATCTGACCTCAAACACTTGATATTCACTAGCTGTGTGATCCTGGGCAAGTCACTTACCCCTAGCCAAAAAAAAAATAATAATAGCGACAGTGTTCCCAGTTTTCTTTATACGTACCTGTAGATGTTGTATCCCTGCAGCAGAACCTTTGCTGCTTGGGTAGAGGGGCGGTTTCGTTTGTTTTTGTATTCCCAGCATTCAGTACCAAGACTCGTACATTGTAGGTGCTTATTAAGTGTTTGTTGAATAGAAATGGATTGGTAGGACCTTCTGAGGCTTTTGCTTTCCTAAATTAGCCCTTAAGAACTATGGATCAGATTGAGGCATTGGAGTAAGATTTCAGTAGATTCATAAAGATGTGTTTACAAACACAATTAGCAGTCAAAGCCAGGGATAAAGGATTCAAGAAGACAAGGGTTTGTCTCATTACACAATTTACTTAAATTAACAAAAGCTAGTTTCTTGATGAAACCAAATTAGATCTGTGTGCAGCCCTCAATGTGGTTGATTAATTCAATATTTTCACACAGACAAAATCAGGAGCATCATTTATATTCATACAGAACCCTTTACCATGAAGAAACTCTCAAGGAAGTTTAGTATCTAATTTTTCTTACCCTTGCCACCAGCCCCACCTGTTTCTTTGTGAGTTGTCAAAGTGCTGGTCCATTGTGTATCTTCTTCAAATTGAACCCAGGTGCTAATGGTGGAGGCCAAATCAGGTTTGGGCTGTACAATGTTGTCAGGTGGAGATGATGGCTCTGAGATGAGACCCAGCTTCTCCGAGCTATCACCCTGCTCTGAGTGAGAGAGCTCCTGTGATTCTCCATCGACTGTCTGGTTTTCCCCAGAGGAACTCTCTGACCGGTCTGAGGAAGAAGACAGCCCTGTAACAAGATTCTCAGGGCCACCTGAAACAAAGAGAAAATACAGATATCTCAGTATAATCCACTGTTCTGAACTATTTTAAAGAAGACAAAAGAGACAGAGAAGGGGAAAGTACAGCTATATAGAAGCTATAAGGATTTCCAATGAAGGAATTGGGGGTGGGGTGGGCAGTAGGAACATACCTACTCATCCAGTTCTATACTAATGTGATAGTTCTCTCATAATGGATCAAAAATATTACACATATGGTATAATGATTAACATATTAACATTCAAATAGTGCTCTGACTAAAACTCCCTAAATAAAAACATTTTTTAGCAAAATTAAAGTAAAGCAAAGGAACTGAGGAACCTGGAGAAGTCTTAGGGGAAACATGAGTTTCCCTTAAGTATATGAACAGAGTTCATGTGGAAGAGGTATCAGACACAGGATCAAAGATTTAAGAGGTGAAAGGGACTTTGGAGGTAATTGAGTTCAACCTCTTCATTTTACAGATGAGGAAACTGAGGCTCAGAGTTGTTAAACAGCTTGTTAAAGGTCAAACAGCTGAGTGACTAAGGCAGGCTTCAAACACCAGTCTTTCTGACAAGTCTAGATCTCTATCCTTTACACAACTCTGATTCTTTTTATGTCCCGCATGGTCTCAGAGGGCAGAATTAGGAGCAATGAGTAAGAGAGTAAGAGAACTAGGAGCAATGGGTGAAAGTTAAAATGAGAGTTTTAGGTCTGGTGTCAGGAAAAATTTCCTAAAGGTTAAAGCTATCTAAAGGTGGGATGGTCTGCCTTGGAATGTAGTAGGTCCTGCCCTCTGCCCCCTCATTGTAAGTCTTCAGGTAAAGACTAAATAACTACTTCTCAGGTGTGTTTAAGTGGACATCCTTTTCAAGATATGAGTCAGACTAGATGAACATTGATATCTCTTCCAACTCTGAAATTCAGTCATTTTGTAAAGTTCTCTCCTGAGCTTTAAACTTCCTGATAATTGGACAAAGCCATTAATAAGTAACAGATTTTTCTTAAAAGCAGGATGAGACCCCTATCTTCAATTAAAAAAAACTGTAAAACAAAAAAAAAATTAATCATAATCCAAACAAAAAAGACCCACTTGTATTCAATTAAGCTCATTAAGTTCAGTCACAGAGATGACTAAATAGTAAAGGCATAACAATAAATAATGGCAGCCATTTTAGAACCAAGGGATTTGAGCCAACTGAAGTTTACTAGACATTGCCTTGACATATAATCCTGTGTTGAGGGAAAAGTTATTTAACATCTCTATGTACTAGTTTCTTTCTTTCTTTCTTTTTTGGCAAGGCAATCAGGGTTGAGTGACTTGCCCAGGGTCACACAGCTTGTAAGTGTCAAGTGTCTGGCCAGATTTAAACTCAGGTCCTCCTGACTTCAGGGTAGGTACTCTGTCCACTGTGTCACTTTGCTGCCCCTCTGTGTACTAGTTTCACAAACAGAATACAAGAAGGATTACAATAGGCAGGATAGCTACATTGCTCTGCAGGAAAATAACTGCACAATGCAATCATCTGTAAAATTATCTCTACTATCCCTTCCAGCTTTAGCTCCTATGATCCCATGATGATGATGTGCTCTACAACTACAGAGCTTGTAGAAAGAGAACAAATTTCTTACTGTTCAGAAGTGAATTTGGTCTTTCAGGTTATCATTTGGTATCACAGAAATGCAGATACCCTAACCTGTCTAGTCTACCAAATGAAAGAGCTCATGGATCTCTTTCTAGTGACCAATTTACATTATTTTAATAGTAGGACCAAGCCACGGATGGCTAAAACTGAAGTACTAGAAGCAACAAAATATATGTCATGATTTGTTAGTCTCTTTTTTTTTAACTCTAGGAAATAACAGGAAACTTCACCTTCTGAAGTAACAGGAAAGAGTGACTCCTCATTGAAAGATACCCACTCAGACTGGTGGGTGGCGATGACATTGCTAAGGGTCGTCATACTAGAGATGCATCTCTCCACAGCTGATTTCAATTAGACCCTTAGGCAGGAAAGTTGTAAACAATGCACCCAAACAGCCTAGAGTAATAATCACTTCTTAGAGACTGACCCCTCTTTCTTCAGGCTTCCCAATGGAGTGGAAACACCCTGTCCAAAAAAAAAAAAAAAAAGGAATACTGAAATTACATATGAAGACATTTTCAGAAACGAACAATGTGCCAATTTGTTTGGCTCAGCTATACTTGTCATTAGGGAACACGTTTGCTTGGGAAGGTGTGAGTTAGTGGGTATATATAAAGATAGGAATAGAGCTAGGGATTGGACTTCTTATTTTGTTGGCATAGGTAACTCCAAAGTGAGGGAACTTGTTCTATCAATGAAGGTTGCTACCTCTGTTGTCTAGAACACTGAGCAGGGTCACAAAGCCAGGACCTGGCAGATAGAGGACTTGGACCTAGGTCTTCCTGGCTTCCAGTTCAGCTCTCAACTACATCATGCTTTCTAAGTGATTAGATGGAAAAAAAAAGAAAAAGAAAAAACAAAGAGTATTAATACTAAAATACAATGAAGAATTGGCTCTCTAGGACGTAGATATGGAGGAGAATGTTGACAATGCAAAAAAAGTCAATAAAAATCTATAAAAATATACTGAAGAAGCAAAACTAAGTCCAGAAAAGGTTATATATAAATAAGACTTTTGTTATAATCTTGTTATGTGTAATATGTGCTTTTTTTCAAAGCAAACTAACGTAAGTTCACAGATTTCTAGATAATCCTCTTTTTTGTTCTTTGTATATGGAAATGTTTGTGCTTATGGATAATTAAGTTCATCATAAAAATAATTAAACATATATGCAATAGACATAAGGCTCTACTTTAAAAAAAACTCACGAAAGTGAATCATTTGAAGATGATGAACTAACCCAACCCAAGAAAACATTCAGCTTAGTTTAATCCCCACCCTGTTCCCTTGCCCTAATTCAGGAGGTGTCATATTAGGACCTCAAAAAAATTAGCCTTTAAATCAGCTTTGTTTTTTTTTTAAAATATCCACAAATTTTACTAAGCTACCAAACATTTTAATTAACTTATTAATCTCCCAAGGATGTAATTTGTATCATTATAATCTTCCACTAACTGTATAATTCCAAGGGCCTTATATTTCTCAATACACTTTGACATTCTCTTGACAGATAGTAAAATAAAGTCAAGTCTTCGCCACTATTCATTCAGCATTGTAATTGCATTTGTCAGGTAGCTATCTGCAAGACTGATTTAAATCTGTGGCACAATCTACTGCCGTTTAAAGATAAAAAGTGTCCAGATAGTTTTGCCAAGCATGTTTCACAGCATAAGAGAAGCCCACTACATGCTCACTCATATTGGAGCTAATAAACTTCTAACCCTATGGGCACAGCTGGGTTGAGAGACCATTACATACTAGTGACTAGGCACACAAAGTGAGAATGAGGAATGAAGGCAGCTGCCACAAAAGACAGAAGTTATAGGAAAATAGGCTGAGTCAGGCAAATAGTCAGATTCTTGAAATCTGCATTTTGCTTTGTAATCCAATACTGACATCCCCACCCCCACCCCCTTCATCCTGACATAAATCTATATTCCTGCAATCAGTTTCTCACTTCTGCCTCAACTCTAGATTTTGGACAGCTAGAGAAACTCTTTCTGGTACCACAGGGGGGCAAGGTGGCATGGTGAATAGGGTCCTGCACTTGGAGGCAGAAGACCTGGGTTCACATCCTTACTCCAAAACATACTAGCTACACAACCATAAGCAAATTACTTAACTTTTGAGTCTCAATTACATTATTTATAAAATGAGATAATAGAATTGTGGTGAAGATCAAAAGAAGTAGGATTTGTGAGTTATTTGGCAAACAGAATTAAGAAGATGGTGCTTTGCACACTTTGTCCTGCTTTCAAAGAAGCATTATATGCCAAATGGAGAGCAATTAGAGTTGAATCTATAAAAAGAAGAGAGAACTGCCACAAGCTAAAAAATCCTTATGAATCGAATTAACACAGGAAAATGTCAATCACTGATTTAGTATTCTACCTAACCAGCCCATCCCTCCTCCATCCCCCCCATAAACTTGTGCTGGGGGGCCCATATTGGGATCTCCTTCAGCAAACTTTGAAGACATTCCCAATCCTCTGACTCATTTCTTTTCTAGAAGAACTAAGAAGAAACTAGCAATTTAAGTAAAATCCCCAACCTAGGGAAACTGTTGACAAAAGACAGCCGGGGAGTTGTGGGAGGGAGGAGAGAAAATTCTGGGAATAAAATTGCACCAAAGTAGCATAAGCAAAACCAAAACCAAAACAGGGTTTTGATGTGAAAGGGCAAAGGGATTAATTTTTTTTTACAATATTAAAGATACAAATGGAGGAAACCACAACCTGACTCTATATTGTTATTTTAAATGTGAATGGACTAAATAATCCAAAAAGTGGAAAGATGCCACAATGCCAGAAGCAGGTCGCAAAGCACCCAGTGGTCAACTAGAACCAGGAAGGACAGCTCTGAGTATGCCCTCTGTCATGGCCTTCATTACATGCAGACAATTAACAGAAATATGTGAGAACAAAAGCCATATTGCAACAGATAAGTGGACATATGATACTGGTACAGTGAATAGAGCACTGGGCCTGTAGACAAGAAAACCTGAGTTCAAGTTTGGACTCAGACACTTAGTAGATGTGTGACCTTGGGCAAGTTATTTAACCTCTCTTTGCCTCGGTTTCCTCAAATATAGCATCTACCTTGCAGGGTTATTGTTAGGATCAAATGAGATAATATTTGTAAAAAGTGTTTTGTCAGTCACATAGCAGCACTATATAAATGCTAATTCCTTTCTCTTTCCTCATATTAAATAATGTTTCAAATCACTAATAATAAGAAAAATGTAAATCAAATCAACCCTAAGGTTTCATTTCACACCCAGCGAACTGGTAAAGATGGCAAAAATTGGAATAGTCACTGTTGAAAGAGTTGTAGAAAGATGGGCACACTAATTCATTATTGGAGCTTATATTTTTCCAACCATTCTGGAAAGCAATTTGGAATTATGCAAATAAAATAGCTCAAATGTCCATATCCTTTGATTCAGAGTATAGATATATAACCCAAAGGGAAAATGACAAAAAGAAAAGCCTTGTATGTGATAAAAAGAGCCCTGTATATATTTGCAGCAGCACCAAACAACTGGAAAACAAAATTGACGGCCATCAATTGGGAAATGGCTACATACATTACTATACATGAATATAATGGAATATTACTGAGCTGTAAGAAATGATGAATACAGAGGGAGCATAGAAAAATTTGCATGAACTGGTGTCAGCTGAAGTAAGTAGAATCAGGAAAACAATACACACAATGACTGTAACAATGAAAATGAAAAGAACAACAAAATAATTTCAATTAAATATTATAAAATTATTATAACCAAGTTTGGACTCAAAGAAGAATCATGAGACACCTTCCCCTGTTTCTTTTCAGAGTTGAGGGACTTTGAGTTTAGAACGCTGTACAAAAGGTTACACTGCTTCAATTATTTGGCTTTGGTTTGGTTTTGATTCTTTTCCCTCCCTACTCAAACACCCTCTTTTTAATAAAGGATAGCTCTCTTGGAGGGAGAGAGTAAATGTAAGGGTTACATTGGGAAATAGGTGATGTAAAATATCAATAAAATTAATTTTTAAATGTTTTTGAAAACTCTAAAATGATATAAATGCAAAGTATTATTATTACTAATATAGCCTGGTAGTTGGATGTTCAGTGGATGTTTGATGTTATCACCAAGTTTCATGGTCCAAGAGCTGAACAGAACTGAAGAAGTTTCAGATTTTTTTTAAACTTTTGCTCCAATAGCACTTTAATGTCAAGAACTATTTTGTTGTTGTTGAGTTTCTTTTGAAGCTTGGAATTCATTCATTTACTTATGTTGGTTATTGACACAATAACAGTCTAACAAATAACTGCAAATGAATCCAAGGTGAAGTGTCTTCCATTATTAAATCTGTTATCCTAATTTCAAGATGTTTAATAACTAGATAAGTCTAAATCAGGCAGTTACTACTGAAAAATGACAATCTTTGGGCTAGAGTTGAAAAATAGAAAACTATCATCTAAAGCAGTGGTCTCCAAATCAGACTATGTGATCAATACATCGATCAGAAGGTGAGAAGATAGGTTGTACCCTACGCTCCCCACAATGGCCAATCATAAACTAGCTTGTCTACAACATAACCACACTAACTCTTATCCCCTGATACTCCTCCAAGTCTTTCCTCTCTTTCTTCTGTACAAACTCCCAACCTCCTTCGGGTGATCTAGGCATGGGCCACTACTCAGGGTAGTTATAAGGTCAAATCAGCAACAGTAGCAGCAGCTACACAGGTTTCATTGGGAAATTCCTCCCTTCCCCCAAACCTCAGTTTACCCATCCCCAAATCTCAGATTTCTTGTGACATCTAAAGGCAAGGTCTCAAAGGGCAGACTCTAAAGTCCAGGCCATGGTACTGATGGCAAATAAGAGCTCTGCTTCCCTAACTTTCACTTTGGGTGGGACAGAGAATTTGAGGAGACATGGATGGGTTGCAGTAGATTATATTTCACCTCAAACTCATCCCTCTTCCAAACTTCTCTTCTCTTGTTGGGACCACCACCACCCACCCACCCACCCTTCCAGTCACCTAAGTTCACGACCTTGGTGTCATTTTCAACTCCTCATTCTCCTCCATCCCACAAATCCAATGTTGCCAAATCTTATTGCCATGTCTATCTCTCTCAATTTTGTCTTCTTTTTCTTCACACAACCACCATCTTTGTTCAGGCTCTCATGACCACTTGCCCTAGACTAATCCCAAGTCTCCCTACTTCAATCTCTCTTCTGCATAGATTATAAAGTGACTTTTCTGAAAGTATAGGTCTAGCATTGTAACTTTCCTACTCAATAAATTCCAGTGGCTTCCTATTATCCTAAAATAAAAAACTATTTGTTCATCTCATTATCTCTTTTAAAATTTCTATTTTTGTATATAAATCATAATATACATAATTATTATTAGTATATGCATATAGTTTATAAGTAAATTACATATATTGACATCTGCATTCAAAATCA